ATCTGAATGTTGTGCTATTTGAGTACAACCAAATGATATTGTCTGACAGCTTCCAGTGTTTGAATTTCTAGGCTGCAATTCTTTATAAATACAACTAAATTTTATATTTCTCACTTTTTTAAAAAAAACATATAAGACATTGAGAAATATAGAGAAACTGATCATTTCAGCAACTTTTAAGAATTCCTGGAATTCTGATTTCTTCTCTCAAATTCTGAAGGTTAATATCTGTTGGCATCTTGGAACCACTGCATCAGAAGTCTTCAAGCATCTTGGGGAAAGTCTGATTGCCATAGTGTGAATCTGTCCTGCCCTCTCTGCCCAGGAGAGCCCTCTCTTCCCACTTCCCAGTGGTCACTAGAGTTCTTTTTTGCCGATTGTCATTTCTCCCAATCTGAATTAGGATTTCTGGAGAAAAGGAGCCTGATGAATTCTTGTTTCTTAAATCACATACTATTTTTGTCTTCTTGTTAGTACTACTAATTTCTGGAAATAAATGAAGAAATTTCTAAAGGTTCAAATTAATAAGTTCACTTATTTTGGAGCAGGTCCATATGCTAAAGGCTAACCATGTTTCCAAGTACCAGGAGCACAAAATTATGAAACCCCAGTCATCACCCTGAGTGCACAGTATGTTGAGGAGGATACATGCACTGTGGTGAATGTCACCATTGGGCCTAACGAGACATAAATTTGAACAGTGTCATGATTAACTCTATCTGGGGTGCAGGTCACAGGATTGGAAAGGGCTTCACCAGAGGGCAATGGATTTGAAGCTTGAACAAGAAATGGACATTTGCTCTGCACATAAAGCAGTTACCAAGTCCTTTAGACTTTAATGTGAACAGCACATGGAAGAGACAAGTGGATGTGGCCACTAGAGATGGAAGCAATAGGACTGAGTGATGGGGAAGGTGGTAAGAGCAGGGGTGGGAGGAATCTAGGGTGGCTCCCAGGCTCTCAGCCTAGGAGTGCCCCATGCCTTGTTAGAATAACAGTAGCCTTTTCATTCTTTGTTGGGTAGAATTGAGGTGCTTGCTTGGAGATAAGTTGAGGAGCCTGACCCTGCTGCAAGAGATTATAGTGCCTACAAAGGGGTCCCCAAGAGATGGTTCCCGGGAAGGTGGTATTTGAGTTGGCCTTGAGAAAAGGAGGTTGGAGGGAAGAAATGAAAGTGTATCAAGTGGAGAAAAAAGTACATGTGGCTAGAACAATAATTGGTGGCAATCATGGTGTGTGTGTGTGTGTGTGTGTGTGTGTGTGTGTGTGTGTGTTGTATACACCTGTTTTGGGGGGATGGGAGCACAGGAAACACTGAACCTGTGAATTTAGATTATACCCTGAGAGGAGAAAATGGACGTTCTAAACCCGGAAGTCTTGTGATAATATCTACTCTTAGAACCATTCTTTTGCTTAAAAAGTATAAATGCTAAGAATTTTGATAGATTTTTTAAAAAGATTGGGAGTAAATAGTTTAACAGATGGCAATAGGAAATGCTGGTGAAATCTCAGGTGTCTGACTTCTTTCTGTGAGAAGGAGAGCTTGTTGCTTGGGGTTTTCTGTGTGGTACCATGAATCTGCAGGAGGCGAGGCTGCCCCTCAGCACCAGCCAGGCTGAGGCAGGGTCGGGGCTTGGTGGTGAGTAGGAAGGACAACAGAACAGGGCCTGCTTACAGACTAGATCACTGTGTCACCCCCGTTGACTGATTTCTATGACATTGCAATCTCATCAAGATGTCTTCATTGCGTTTTATTCTTCATCAACTTAAGAATTAGAATTGTGGGTCAGAAATCTTAGTCTTTTGCCTTGACTGGTTGGTCACTTTTTATGATTTGCATTCACTTGCGGGGATTGAAATATACATATAATATCAGGGGAAGTTATACCTTATTAGATTCAAAGATACATAAACTTATACACTTTGCCTCTGGAAAAAGACCACAGCTTTTGGTGCCATCTCTAGGGCCCTACCTCATTGAGGTTAAGACCACCTGGACTTATCCCAACCAACAGGTATGCTAGTTTCTTTAGAATTAGGAAAATCCAGAGTGGCTTAGCCTTTGTACCAAAAGCACCCAAGGCATTCTAGAATGGAGAAGTCAAAGATAGTGGGTAGTTAGCTATGGGGACAGTGTTTCAAAGGAGTTCTATTTATAAAATTGAATATTGGTAATGAAAGTACAGATTCCAAAACTGGAGATTGAAATGGCTCTGGATCTGTACAATGCTTTCCTTTGACAGTCTCGATTTGGCACATACATCTGTTGTAACTGCCACGGGCCTCTGTGACATTGCAAGTCACTTTCCCTCTGCCTCTAATTCCTCATCTACACAATAAAGTGGCTGGACTAGATTAGTTTGAAGGTGTTTTCTGGTTCTGACATTCTGTGGATTTGTGATGCTTTACTGAGGAACCACTGCAGTGATCAGCATGGACAGACCTATCCAAGGGCCACATTGAAATCTTGAGCACCTAGGGTGCACCAGGCCTTCTAGAGCACACTGGTCAGCTTCACCCCACTGCCTTCCCAGAGACAGAGATGACTTGTCATTAACTGGGTGATTGGCAGCTGGCTCCATCTTTTCCTCAAAGCCACGGATTCAGTGTTTGCTTCTTCCTCCCCTGCCTTTGGCTAAGCTCCGTTAGGCTTCTTTTCTCTGGGGCATCATTGTACACGGTTGTTTGCTCCAGCAAAGCTGCCACTCTTTGGACTTTATTGTCCCTTTCTGGGAACTTATAACAAGAACTACTTTAGCTACCCAGGAGAGGGGCTGCCAGATGCCAGAACTTCTTCCTGCATTTGCTGATTCATTATCAGTGTCAGACAATCTGCTGTGTGAATGATGATAAATGTGATGTGTTCTGTGGAAGGAACCATGTACTCTAAGGTTAACCCCATGCTGACAGCCTGCCCCTCTGTTGCAGAAGTCCCCTCCCCCACTCCATTCCTTTACCAGCAGTCCAGAATAAACACTGAAAGAGTCAGGTGTTTCTGATGAAGGATGATGATAGACCTCAAATCCATGTGGTTTATAAATGCAAATGATGTTTCTTATTACATACAGAGGGGCAAGGCTAAGGTGGGCAGCTTCTGTGAAAGCAGAGTGACATTGAAGACCCCAAGAGCACCCAAGTGGGTATCCCTGTAGAATATTTAAGCTAGTATTCTAGGTTGGAGTGAGATGGGTCAAGGAGGAGAGATTCATCCTTGAGTGCTGTTCCACAGCTGTGTGAATGCCACTCTAGGTCTTGCTACAAGTCAGCTACATGGCTTCAGGCAAGACTCTTCTCCTCTTTAAAGAGTTTCCCTCTTTAGTAAAAAGGAGCACATTGAACTAGGTGATCTCAAAGGATCCTTGTGGGACTTTCTTCTCCAGGGTTTACCCAGGGTCAGCACAGTGGCTTCTCCAGCCTGAATCCTCAGTGGCCCCAAAGACTGGGTTGTGGATGCACATTTGGTCCTCTGTGAAGTCACCCTCAAATATAATCCACCAAACAGACCTCCTCCTTCTTACTGCCTCTCGAATACTGCTGGGACACATTTGACATATAATAAGAACCAAGTTAGTGGGTGCTTCCTTGCTTTATTTGTCCTTCTTTCTTGTTCACTTCCCATCATTTAGAAGAGGGTGGGTCATTTTCAACATCAAACCCAAATTCCTGAGGATCCGGATAATCATTTCTCACTTGGTAGAAAAGATATCCTCCTTCTGCCTTCATGGATCCTTTTGGGACATGGATGTCTTTCCAAACCTAGGGCTTGAAGGGACCAATCACATTTCTATGACAATGGTAATTTTATTCTCTATTATCTCATCTATTGGGGAAAATAATAATTGTAGTCATAGGTACTATTTTTATTGCTGCCTGTTTTGCTGGCTTTATACTGAGTTGTACGCATCATCAGCTCATTTCATCTTCTTAATATCTGCTCGAAGTAGATTCTATTTTCACCCATTTATAGATGCGGAAACTGAGACTTTAAGGATTAAATATCTTGCCAACGTCGTGCCATGAAGAAGTAGCAGAGCTGAGTTTGAGCTTGTCTTTTTTTGAGAATCCAGATGCTAACCACCGTGTAGAACTGCCAGGGCAAAACACTTCAAGGGCACCATAATTGCCTGATTGATGGGCAGCCCAAAGACACTTGTCCTCTATCCAGAACTCAGCCCTTGGGCCATGGGATTTGCTCCAAGTGGCTTTGCAGGAGAACAGCTTCAGCTAAAGGGAGAAGGGTGGCAGTTACTGCAGGCCCTATTTCTGTGGTTTATGATGCAGAAATGGGGTTCCTTCTGTGGACATAAGCCATCCTAATAGTGCCATTTATCATTATGACATAGGTTAGAAAGAGGGGAAGCTAGAGCTGGCATGAAAGAGTAGAATTCTGATTATTTTAACAGTTGGAAGTGACATCACCTCAGAGCTTCTATTGAGTGGCAAATTGGAAGCCAGACTGAAATTGCTTTAAAATGTATCCAGAGATAGTTTTCTGCAGCTGTGATGAAGTCTTTCGGTTGTGTTTGGAGATGCGTTTCTATCTAAAATACTCGTGGAGTAGCCTGTGTATCACCCAAATGGAAGGCTGCCCATCAGCCCCAGGAGATTCGAAGGCTCCAAAGAGCTATTCTGGGCACTTATGATATGCCACACCTGGCATTGGAGCTGATTGAGCCACCCTCCCTTATTGTTTCTTTAAAATATATTGTTTATGTCTTTGTATGTCAGCAAATAATGCTTAATATTTAGTGGCCACACTATTTCTTTGGTCCAGCTGTGAAGTTAAGCCTCAGCTTTTGGAACAAACTCTTCCACCTCCTTTGATGAGCTGGAAAAAGTGGGAGTGCTGTCTAAGGGCCCCTGGGATTCCATTGTCCACTGCTCTTTCGCTCCATTTGTTCATTTGACCTTGGATTCTGAAAACCTGGAGGAAAGACAAATGAGAACTGGAGTTTTAACTAACCTATCCCGTTTTTTTTTTTTTTTTTTTTCATCTTCAGGCAAAAGAAGGGGAACGTGGCCCACAAACACTGGGTTGGACCTTCAAATTTGGTCAAGTGCAAGCCCTGCCCTGTGGCTCCGTCGGCCATGGTCTGTGGCTCTGATGGTCACACCTACACGTCCAAGGTGGGTCTTCATTATCTTATTGTTATTATTATTATTGATCATAAAAATACTGTAGGTCTTCTTGTCAAATCTCTGCCAAAACAGGGACCTGGAAAGGTTCAAGAACTCTGGGCCCTGCCTTGGAGAAGCTGTTACATAAATAGACACAGAGATATTCTCTGACCAAGGAGGCAAGCAAAATAAAAATGTTCGTCCTATGTAATTGGACTGTCCAAGGCTTAGGGGAAAGGTGGTTCTGTGAATAGTGTGTGATCCCAATGTTAATGTAGAGGAACCTGGAGATGAGGTAGCACACACAGCTTAGCTGATGTGGAGCAACCCAGGGAGGATAGTTTGGGTTGCTGCTTAGTGGACAGTGCCATGGAAGGAAGGACTGTGATGTCAGCCCATGTTTGTCAGCACTTCTGGGCATCTAGGACTCACCCAGCATTGCATGGGCCCTTAATATGGTACTGCTTATTTCTTAGGGACATTTGGGGACTCCCAGTCTCAAAGGACCGAGGAAAGTATGGTGATGTGACATTTTAGCCCAAACCAACAAAAAGAAAGGGGTTTCATATAAAAGGGGCCAAGGTAAGGCAGGTCTATTTATTCTTATTGGAGGGCTGAGGAGCAGCTTTGCAAAGAGCATTGAACTGGGCTTGTTAAGCAGGATTTATAAGCAGGGAGGCACAGGGGTCAGGGTGGAGAAAGGAGGTGATACTTTGTTCTTGGAATTTCAAACACTCTCTGGTAAAGTTGTCCACCTGTATTTGAGAATGGGTGCATTTCACTGGTATATGAATTAAAGAAAGGGAAACCAAATGATCTAAGAGTTTGCTTACTTGACAAGTTCATATTTCATACCCAGCACCGCCTTGGGATCTGGACTCGTGCTAGGTGTCAAGGAGCTGGTGTGTCGCCAGTTGGCTGGGCTGGCAAGATGAGCTGGGTTCAAAGGAACTGGCTGTATCAATAACTAAGAAAATGGCAAAGAAACCACACAGCACATGAACATGAGTTTCTAAGATGGAGGGTGGGACTGCTCAGTGACCCCAAGGGTTAGCTCCATGTTGGGCAGCACTGGAAAAGTGTGTGCACCTGAATTCTTTTTATTTTATAGGGGGGACACACACAAAGGAGGTCCCATGGAATGTTCTTCACCAAATAAGGCAGGGAATAGGGTTTCGAAGGTGGAGTCTTGCTTTGTGATGTCTTGTGGTCAGCAGATTGATTGCTATCTTGGCAAGTCATACCCATCTCAGGTGCTGTGTGGGATCACAGGCAGAGCATGAAGAAAGGCACATTTGTATCGCACAGCCCAATCAGCATGCAATGCAAGTCCCCTGATACACTCAAATGTGCATAGCTCACACACAACAGCCCATGGATGGCTTAGGACACTGGTATATGGGTACATATCTCGGGAATTTTCTGTATGACATGCTGCAGGGGTGGAGCTGCTGTCCTCCAACCAGTGCTGCAAGGCCTTTATCTGTCACTGTTCCTCTGTAAGGTTCCTCTTGCAGAGTAGTCTGTGGCTAAGGAGTTGCCATAAGTAGGAATAAACAGGATACTTTTGACCATACTGACCTGTGATTTTGAGCTTTTCTACTGGGTGCCTTATTTGTCCTTGCCCTGCTCACAGTTGGTGGTCTGTATTCTCAGTAAGCCCCATGCTGGTCCTCACACCATGGAGATTCCACAGTCCACAGGCTGAGGTAGAGCCTTACTGCCTGCCATTCTCAAAGGTTTACATGGGTCACTTTGAGGCTATGGCAGCTCTTCCCTGGGGATTTTGCAATGCATACATAGGTCCTGTATTTTTATTCATTGAAAACAGAATTTTATTCCAACCAGATTTCTACCTTTCTTCCCCACCAACTAAGGGGAATACATCTTGCAAAACAGGAAGCCAGAAAGTATACCTCAGTCTGGCTTGTACTCAGACCCATGTAATTTACTTGAGGACCTCAGTAGCATAGCCATTATACAATCATTTATTTCCTTAATTTATTTAAAAACTATCATTTGAGCCTTCTGAAGTTCCAGGCACTGTGCTAGGTGCTGGGGACACTTATAGTAGGAATAAAAATCTGACTCTTTTCATGACTTGAATCAGTAATTCTTACCTCCCCCACTGTAGAACTTCCCTGTGAGTTAGAACTTCTCTACCCAGGGTCACAGCTGGTACCTCCTGGCTAAATAACCCCATCCCCAAGCTTAACTCACTTTTCCCCCTTTCTTTCCTCTCCTTCATCTCTGATAGAATCAAAGTTTGCAACAGCTTGCAGTGATGGGCCTCACTTGTGACACCTTAAACACATCTGGAATAGTAGATATACAGGGGACACTGATAAATAATTTTTATCCCCCATCACAAAGGCATCATTGTCTTTCACCAGGGTCCAGATGCTGGGTGTATAGACAGTGCTGAGAGGTCCTGTAAAAATGCAGATTCGGATATAGCAGGTCTAGGTTGGGACCTGAGATTTTGCATTTCTGACAGGTTTCCTGGTGACGGCCAGGCTGCTGGTTTAAAGACCCCATTTTGAGTGGCAGCGACTTCAGCTTGTACAGCCATCTCCTAATAGGCATCCCTACCTTCATCTTCACTTCTCCAAGCTTGGAGTCCATTTGCACATAAAAGAAGAGGGGATAATTCTGTAGGAAAAGTCTGCTGGTGTGTCTCCCCTGCTTCACTGTTTGGGAAGTTTTGCTGCTAGAACTGAACTGACTCTTCATCATCACTAACAAAACCCTCCAGAGTCTGACTTGTTCCCACTTCAAAATCACCCACAGAAAGAACCTTTCTTCATCCATTTATTCAATAGCTGCTTGTCAAATACCTCCAGTTCATCTAGGTATTGTGCAAAAGATGATGGATAGTGGGAGAGTTGGGAACAAAATGGATATCATTCCTGCACACGTGGAGGTCACTGTCTGGTAGGAGAGACAGAAGTAAATAAGTAGCAAAGCACATTAATTGTAATTTCAAATGTTAATAAGTACTATAAGGTTTGGTGCTAGGAAAGAAGTGGAGAGAGACCTGCTTTGTAGGGGCCAGTGAAGAAAATTCTCTCTAAGGAGGTATCCTTTCAGCTGAGAATGGAGGGATAGGATATTCCAGACAGAATGGCATGGGCAAGGGCACTAAGGCAGCATGATGTCTTTGCAGGACTGAGAAGATTCCCACTTGGCTCTAAAGATGAGGAGAGAGGCAGGCATGTGAGATGAAGGGTACAGGGAAGATGTCAAGAATAGTCTAAGAGAGGACATTTAGCAAACTGGAAGATGAGAAGTTGGTAGAGAAATTCTAGGCTTATGGGAAAATGAGTGTTTCAACTGCCTTAAAAATGTGAAATCCCCAAAGCAGAGACAATGCTCGTCACCATCTCCTCTAGGCGTGGGGTGTGGGATGTAATGGGTGCTCAGTAAGGATCAGTGACCAGAGAGGAGCCAACCAGGGCTCTAGCTGAGGAGGACTAGGAAGACTCCAGTCTGCCTATCTCATTCTGGATTTGAGAGCACAGGATGGACAGAGCTTAGTGACCAAGAGAAATAAGCCATCCCCATCCTGGCCAAGTTGCTTAGCTAAATCCCCAGCCTGGGGCTCTGGCAGAGAGTTGGTGCCTCCTTCTTTCTTCTCTCTTTACAATGGTTCCAGCTTGTGCCATTTAAATCATTCCCTCCAGCTCTGGAGTAAACCTTCTGATCCTCAAGCCTGAGATGGGAGACATGGGATGTCAGTGAGAATTATGGCTGTTTGGGCAAGTGGCAGATTGCACATCAAGCCCCCACAAAAGCCTGCTGTTATGGTTTAGATATTAGGTATTCCCCAAAAACTCATGTGCAAGACATGGCAAGAAGGTGAAATGATTGCATTATGAGAGTCTTAAGCCGATCGGTGAACCAATCTCCTGTTAAGGAATAACAAGGGGGTAACCCTAAGCAGGTAGGGTGTGGCTGGAGGAGGTGGGTCATTAGGGGCATGCTTTTGGGGTTTGTATTTTGTATCTGGTAAGTGGAGTTTCCCTTTCTCTGCTTCTTGGTAGCCATTCCATAACCTGCTTTCCTCTGCCACACACTTCCATCATGATGTCCTGCTTTAATTAGAGCCCCCCAAATGGAGCCAGCTATTTATGGATAAGAGCTCTGAAACCTTGAGCCCCCAAACACTTTATCTCACAGTCACAGAGGAGCTTGAAAGGCCGGCTTCCCATGACCCCTGAGCACAAGGAATGATAGCAATCTGTCAATTGCCTAGGGAATGTTTTTGGAAATATTCATTGGTCCAGAACCCCAAGGGTCTAGGCAGGGAAGTTGGCTTTTTGGATATGAGAAGGTTGCCGCTCTCAGGTGCTGGCAAATAGCTAATTTAAGAGACAGGATTAGAGTTTAAAAGAACCATCTGTAATGACTTTTTTTTATATATATACTGGGGATTGAACTCAGGGGCACTCGATCCTGGGCCATATTCCTAGCCCTATTTTATATTTTATTTAGAGACAGGGTCTCTCTGAGTTGCTCAGTACCTTACCATTGCTGAGGCTGGCTTTGAATTTGCAATCTTCCTGCCTCAGCCTCCTGAGCCGATGGGACACAGGTGTGCACCACTGCGCCCAGCTCTGCAATGACTCTTGATTAATCTTCACAAGACAGTGTTTTCCTATATAGTGTTGAGCAGAGCCTTGAGGCCTTCCTCAGTAGGCTGCTGCTGGGACAATAGAGTCTTTCAATTCCTGCCTTAGTTTGACTGAGATCTGAGTCTTCCAGACCTGCTCAACTCTTTTCCAGGAACAAAAGAAGAGACCTAAAGCTGCCTTATCAGAAATTGTAGTATCTTTCTCCTATTTTCCATATGTGGTATCTTAGTTTTCTATTGCTGTAACAAAATGACCGAGATAATCAACAAATTTGGTATTATTAGGAAGAAAGGTGAAATTGTTGGCTTACAATTTTAAAGATTTCAATCCTTCCCGGCTTGGTCCTGTGGAAGCACAATTCACCATAGCAGGAGC